CCGCCTCTCTGTTTCGTCTCCAGCTGCGCCTCCTCCTCTTTGATGGTAATAATAGGTTATTAGTGGGGGAGCAAAACGTTGCGTTTTGCTCCCCCTTTTATTAATATATTATTTTTTTCTTTTTTTTATTTATATTTCTTTTTTTATTTTTAAATCTTCTAAAAACCTGCAATCAAAATTTAAGGATAAGGTAGCATTAATTGTTCTCAAAAATTAATTAGTCACAATTAAATCAAAATATGACAATTTTGCCCCTAAAAAATAATAATACAAAATAAAATATATTAAATCAATTAAAGCAAAAAGGAACCAATTAAGTTGATAAAACCCATATAAAAGATATCAAAATATATAGAAATAATTGAGTTCGTCAATACTTTAAGTTGACTCCATCTAAAACCATTAGTCCCTGTAAGCTCAAAATGACTTTTTGGACCTATCCCACTTAAATTAGAGGACTTACTACACAAAAGGCGGCAAAGATTTTCTGACAAGTATTTAACGTCGTTACATTCCTATGAATCGAACTCAATACCCTTGGTAAAACTGATACAACTTCTGCAAGTTGAACCTGTCACTTTGTGGTTATAACAAAATGACTTTGCTAAGGAAAAATTAAAAAAAAAAAATCCAAGTTCATGAGAGAGCGTTTTTTTCATTCTCATTCTCCTTTCTATTCCCATGTTATACCAAATGAGTCCTAATAAAGCATTATATATTTTATAGAATAATAAAAACTGAGGTGAAAAGTAGAAATTTGCATGATATAGTATGCTTCTAATGTTTGATCATATAAAGAATATTATTATATAAATATGAGAAGTATAAATAAATATGCACCTAGTCTTTTTCAAACACCTTCCCCTCCTTTTTCTATCCTCCATCATTATCAACGACCCCCTTCAGTTCCCCTCTATCATTATTTGATTCATCTTCCTTCTCTCCATGTCACACCCCAATTTTTGGAGGTAACCGGCAAGGAATATGAGAAATCTCACATTCCCGAGCCTTCTCTTTCACTTCAATTAGTTAACAGGCAAAGGTTTCTTGCTAACCCAAAACATACATCTGCTATAAATAAATCATATAATCCAAAATAATAAAGCGTTTGTAGAAATTTTGGCAAAGTCTTCATCGTAAATCAGACTTCCCGAAAGTTCTACAATGGGCTGCAAGTTTAGAACAGTATTTAGAGATCTACTCCTCAGTTCAGGTATATACATAATTACATACCAATTTATCGCAAAAGACTAGGATTTAACTATAGATTTCGTGGAGCATATAACTATAAAATTAAAACATAAGTAACAACTACTCAAAATAGATTCACAGGTTCTGGATCTTCAATGAGACTCTTCACTGCTCAGCTGGAGGGACAAGGTTTGTGGTGCTATCGGAAGCCAAAAATAATCTACCAGTGAATAATATCCCTTTATAATATTTAATAAAATATTAAGAACTGAATAAAATAAATTTAACTTTGAAAGATAAATGGCAAGAATTAAAATTTCTATAGTATAGAATCCTGAATTAAAAGGATAAGCATATACTTGAACTCATTAAACAATTAAATTAAATCGAACTTCATAATAAGACAACTTGATGCATGAAAATGATATAAAACCTTATTCTATTTATTATTATTTTTTCAAATCTTGTCTTTTCGTAGGACCTCGACAGAAGAGATAGCAAGCGCAGCCTGAAACCACAAATACAAGCGTGGACACCCAATCCACGAGGGTGAGTAACAAATCAAGTGCAGCCGAAGCCACAAAACAAGCGTGAGAACGATGCCACGAATATCAAACGAGCTCGAGATTTCCATGGCGCGCCAAGGACTAATTGATGAGAGCCTTTGTCGTTCGCCTTGGGGTTCCCAATCAAAAATAAATCCAAACAATGTAATATAGTGCAAAACTCGAGTTGTTTCACTTTGAGGAGCCTTTATTTGAAATCCTAAGCAAACTAAGTATCAAAAATAAAGAATTGACTTGAAAAGGAATTGATTTTCTTTTTAACTGACTAATTGGCAAAATTTAAAAGGATGCAAAATGAGTAAATAATTTTTGGATTTTTAGTTTATAAAATGGATATGAATAGAATAAGCAAAGTGAGTAAACAAGTGACAGCAAATGGAAAAACAATCCTCTAGCACAATGATTAAGGCTATCATTATTTCGATTAATTTGGGAATTAGCTAAATTCAAAAGACTCTAAGGGCCACCTCCTAGACTCGGTTTAATTAGAATAATCAACACCAAGCCACCTTGCATATTAATTATTCACAATTAAACTGTTTCAGCACAATTAGCCAAAAAGAAAATCAAAGAAAAGAAATTAACATTTTTAGTCCAATAACCAAGTCACCTTGAATTACCACTAAATGTTCACAATAATTTCAAAACATAGTCTGACCCAGTACAATGTAAAGAAATTAAAGCTAATCACAGCATAATGTTAAATGCTAATCAAAGATTCCAACAACTACCGCCAATCTCAATACAAATATAAATCATCACAGCCCATTCAAACATTATAGAATTCATTCTAAGACCTAGAAATCACAATTATAATGAAAGAAGTAAAGATTAGAAGAGTTGAAACTTCCCTTTGAAGCTCTAAGTTCGAGTCATAACCATTGTTCTAGAGAATTGGAAGGATTTAGCTACTCCTAACCATCACCACAGCTCCACCAAAATTCCAATTCGGTTCAGCCATGAAGAACAATGAAGATGGAATCTGGAGGAGTGATTTTGCTGTGAAGCTATGGTCCTTCGTTCTCTCTTCCTCGCCGCTGGTCTCCTTTTTTTTTCCTGCCGCCAGTCCGCCTCGCTTCGCTCCTTCGTGTGCGCTTTTATTTTTCTCTGCCGCCCAGCGTCCCCTGTTTTCGTGAGTTTAGCATCCGGTCCCCTGGTGAATTATAGTATATTAGGGGTGGGAGCAAAACGCGCGTTTTGCTCCCCCTTTTATTATTTTATTATATTTTTTTTTCTTTTTTTTTATTTTTTTTATTTTTAAATCTTCTAAAAACCTGCAAACAAAATTCAAAAATAAAGTAACATTAATTGTCCTCAAAAATCAATTAGTCACAATTAAAACAAAATATGACAATTTTGCCCCTATAAAATAATAATTCAAAATAAAATAAAATAAATCAAAAAACTATCAATTACGGCAAAAAGGGACCAATTAAGTTGACAAAACCCATATAAAAGATACCAAAATATATAAAAATAATTGAGTTTGTCACTAATAGTACTGCTATTAGTTATCAGCATTCTATATCCAATCCTCCAAGAAAAACTCACAGGCAGGCATGAGATCACTTCATCACTAACTTAACAAAGGAAATATATATATATATATATATATATATGTATGTATATTTCTAATAGTGGAATCCTTTAAAAAGTATTTTGTAACAATTGATCCCAGCATGAAGGTTCTCAAATAACATTTTTAAAACTCCTTTTCAAATTCCAAGCATAAATATTTATTAATAACAAAATGCTGATTAACATATCTCAAGTGGCAATTTATTCAACATAAGAAGCGAAAGTATTTCTCTAAACAATAAAACATCAAGACATTAAATAATTAAGATTGAAAAATGATAAAATTTAAATTAAATTACCTAGATAAACTATTTAGTAACGAAAATGATAATTTAACTAGATTAATAACAAGTAGTAAAAGTTTTTTAAAAAAAAAACATAATAATGGGATGCTATTCATTCACCTGACAAGTTCCCAAAATAATACTTAAATTTAATCACGCCCGTATTAGAAACTCTCCTCAATCCCCTAAAGCCCAAAAACAAAAATATTACTACTCAAGTCAAAATTTATGTAAAAGTTTTCACAATAACTAGATAGATAAAAACTTCAAGAACCATCTAAAATGAAAATTCTAACACTAGAACTCACTATTTTGACTCCCAAATTCTAATGGCTCTTATAGGATGGGCATTACACTTTTAAATTTATCTTACAAGATTTACCGTATTGGGTGCCAATTTCAACATAACATCCTCGTCAATTTAAAGCCAAAGGACATGAGAGAAATTTAACTTGGTCCTTAAATGACAAATCAAATGTTTCACGTTGAACTTCAATTCTCCCGTTACTTGGATGCCATCAACATTGCAAGAATAATCTTCAAACTACTCACGTTACAACCCACAATTCACCATTATCATCAATCATTCAATCCATCAAAGACCATGTAATCATTCAAACTCATCCATCAAACAAGCATCTTGGCTCAATAGACAAAGCATGACTTCTGAGCAAACCTTTTTCCTAAACATTTCTACAAACACCTTCTATGCAGTACTACTCCATCCCTTATTATAAAATCCTTTTAACTAGATTGTGTGGTTTAAGAAAACAGTTAAAATTAGTTAAAAGCAATTAATATGTAGCAAATGTAATTTTTTTCCAAATATACCCCTATATATAAATGGGTAGATGTGAAAGAGAAATAGTGAGATAAATGAAGAAAGAGAATGCATTAAATGCATTAAACTAGGGATAAAATAGGTAATAATGTATTAAATATTTAGACAAACTTAAGAGAGATCTTATAAAAAGGGACAAACATATTCAAAAAATTAGATCTTATAATAAGGGACGAAAGGAGTAATAATTAAACATGATGACCACATATATTAATCCGTCGTTCCAACATTAATAAACTTCATAACAGCCACAACAAACCAAAAATTTCACTGCCCAGCACAAATATGAACATTAAATTCCAAAACAGAGGAATAAAATGCAAGAGGACTAACTTATCTCCATTACCGATAGTAGCAAACTAAGAATCTAGAGGAGAGGAAGATAAAGATCGCATCAACAGTCACACAAGAGTAAGAAAAGACAAACTCCAAACCTTCTAACCACCAAAAATCGAACAGAGCAAGCAGGAAAGATGGCACAATGAAGCTGGAAAACTCAGAACCGAAGCAAGCCAAAAGAATTACAATGCTGTGTCGGCGATGGCAACTCTGACAGCAAGGAAGGTGGGGGGAGCGACGAACCAAAGGAGGGAGAGTGGAGAGGTTAGGGTTTAAAGTTCAGGAGTCATTCTCTCCAGTCTCTCATCTCTCTCATTGAACTGAAAGCACCGAAAGAAAAAAAATATCCTGAAAGTCTCTTTTTTTTTCTTTTCTTTTAACATGGGTATTTAAGAAATTTTCTTATAAAACTGGAAAAAGAAATTAAATTCTCCTTTGAACAGGCTGGGGTTTGAACCTGGAACCTCTGACCTTCTTAGCAGCCTTTATTACTATCTATCTCCAAGCTCTACTTAGCATTCAGGCTACAACAATTAATATAAGTATTAATTAATTTATTATGAAAATTTCAAGATTATTACGCTCCATATAAAATCACATTGACCCCACTTGCATGTTAGTGATTGATCAATCATTCCATTGATTTAGAGCCGCTTGACTTGACCTTTGCCATTTCTATCTTCTTCTCTACTTTCTCTTCCCACAGACCTAACCCAATACACACACACACACACATCTCTGATCTCTTTTGCCAAAACTCCACAAAACCATGCTTCAACCTATTACTTTCTTTCCTCCCTTGTTTATTACCTTCATAGTCTAGTCATGCTGCTCCCTTGACGGCGTCGTTTCAGACCCTCAGACCAATCTTCTTGGTCGAGCCTGCCTCCAATATAATAGAGATGAGTACGGTACTAAGTCCTTCAATGACAGTGTAAGCGCAACGTTTCACGATCTCTCATATCAGGTGGTGAATCAGATCAAGTTCTTCGCCACGGCGCAGCAGACCGACGGAAACCTCCCCGTTTACGGTATTTTTCAGTGCAGAAGCTACCTTTCCGTCGCCGACTGTGCCGCCTGCTTTACACATGCCGCCGCACAGATCTTGAACTGCTCCGCCGGCACTAACTTTGCTCGTGTCATCTTTGACGGCTGCTTCCTCAGGTATACGGCCACATCGCTTGGTTTCTTCTTCTTTTTTTTTTTTTTTTTGCAAAATACTACCTTCGGTCTTTAATATAAAACTTTATTTGACTTTTATTTTGATCCTAAATATAAGATCCCAATCTACTTTGTCTCTCATATTTATGTATTTTTTCTAAGGTAGTTCTTCTAATAATATTAGTTCTAGCCAATACACTTGATTAGCAAGAATATTTTAAGAAAGACAATACCTATTTATTACAAATAACTAACCTAATTCATTTACTTAATCTCCTCAAATTAGTCAACTAGCTCTTATAATTAAGATTGGAGGTAGTATGTAACATATTTTTTCATAGAATATTATGTGATAAACTAGATTTATCATAATTAGTTATAAATTAAACATATTATTATTATTTTAAGTAAAATTTTCTTTTAGCTGGTGTTATATATGATTTTTCGATATTAGATTTTCATTTGTTGGTCCAATAATGGGTATGCCTTTCTTTTTCGTGAAATATCACGATACGTCATCTAGATGGATATGATCGACTAGAGAGATTCAAGAACAATTAATGGCTCCTGACGATATTGTGAGAGAGAACTGTTTCTTGTCTTTTACATTGGGTATAATTATTTTTTTTAAAAATGCTTCAAAATGACACTACTAAAAGGGAAAAAAAAAGAAGTACCTCATCAGAAACATATATAATACTCATTAGCTTTTTAAAAAAAAAATTTTAGTTTTTCATACTCAATTGCATTTACTTAAAGTAACAGGACCAACAAAATAACAATATTTCACTTAATCTAAATAAGAATTTTTGTTTCTATGGCATATTATTAGGTATGAGAGTACCAATGTACTTGAGCAGACAACAGGAATTTTCAATACTGCATCGTGTGGGAATCAAAGTGTAAAAGTAGCAGCCGCTGCATTTACTTCAGCTGCACAACAACTCCTGATGGATCTTCAAACCACAACGCCCAAAATCACTGGTTTTTCTGCAGCAACAAAAACTCAAGTCCCTGATAATAATAATGATGATGATGAAACTATTTATGCCTATGCTCAGTGTACTGAAACTATCTCACAAAGTGGGTGTGAGGATTGCTTGAAACAAGGGGTCAACAGAGTACGGACTTGCCTTCCCAATTCAGATGGTAGGGCAATTTGATGCTGGCTGTTTCATCAGATACCCCACAATTTCCTTCTTTCCTGATTAGCACACCATTCATATCAGTAATAATCCCTCCGTTAAACAAGGTGCAGTGAATTCAAATACTTCAATATTTAATTGCAACATAACATTCTGGTTTATTTATGTCTAATTCTGAATCTTATGTTATATATGTCATATTTCAGTGCTTGAGTATTAAAATATATCCTGTAAATATGCATATGTGTCATAGAAAATGACTGAAGCGAGGGGTTTGGCTTATCTACATGAGGAATATCATGTTTGTATTATACATAGAGATATTAAGACTAATAACATCCTTTTGGATCATGATTTACAACCTAGAATTTCTGATTTTGACTTAGCAAGACTTTTACCTAAAGAAAAATCTTATCTTAGCACGAAAATTGCAGGAACATTGTAAGTCTGAATAATTTTATTCTGTAATTTATTAACTTCTATTCTAATTCTTGATTATTGAAAGGCTTCTATTGCACCAATATATTTATATTGCACCAATATATTTAACTACTTTTTTTGCCTTCGTACGAGCATGAATACTTCAGGATATTATTCATAAGTGGAACATCGTACAATAATTTGTGTTGTATATGACAATTTTAGATTTTTCTTTTGTTCTAAATATTTTCATTTATGTTAGCTTGAGTCGTATTCTAGTCAATGACATCATTAATATTATGCATTTTGCAGAGGATATAAAGCTCCAAAGTATATGTTACCCATGGTCAATTGTCAGAAAAGGATGATATCTATAGTTTTAGTGTTGTTATCCTAGAGATTGTTAGCGGCCCAAAAAATAATGAGTTAAAACTTGATGGCGATGCTGAAGGTGAATTCCTCCTTAGAAAGGTGATGAAATTTCCTTGACCATTTACAAACGACTTTTTTTTTTCTTTTCTTTTCTTTTTTCAGGAGATATAAATATATAACTTTCTTATCAATGGAGCTTGACTCCTTTAGGAAAAGCTATTCCTCCTATATCATAATACAATTTCAATAACTATTTAAGAAACAGTAAAATAAGTTTTGCTGTGATCTTTTTTCTAACCTTCTTATTACTCAATTACATTTTAATCCTACTTGGTAGGCTTGGAAACTATATGAAAGAGGCATCCACTTGGAGGTGGTGGATGAGACCCTAAACCCTAATGATTATGATGCAGAGGAAGTGAAACAAATCATAGAAATCGGTTTGCTTTGCACCTAAGCATCTGCGGATTTAAGGCCGTCAATGTCTGAAGTAGTTGTTTTGCTCCAAAAGAAGGGTTTATCCAATAACGTAAAACCCACAATGCCTATTTTGATTGAAGCTAAGTAAAAGTCCATTGGGAGATAATTATGATTTGCAAGAAACTCACAACTAAGTGTGACTTTGGAGTCTCAATCACAAAATTGAAAAAGGCTAAACAGAAGAAGCATAAAACGGGAAACGATCATGTCTTTTATTCCGTTGTTCAACATTTTGTGTAATTATATATCAATCTTAGAAATGCAAAGCATGTTCATGAATTGGTGATTATTGTGGGAGCACCATTTTTAATAAACTTTGTTAATCTCTCTTGAACATTGGTTCGAATAATTAAATCTTATTTGGGCTTTTTTACCAAGATCCTACAAACAGTAAAATAAAATATCAAAAGTGCCATACTTTGAAAAATAATTACAGAGATGCTACATTTACAATCGTTCAGAGGGTGAACAAGTTTACAAAGAAGACATTCCTAGCAAGAACAACTTCCTATGTGTTGTTTTATTTTTACAATCTTGGTTTATGTTTTCCTGCAAAGCAAAAAATAAAAAAATTCTTCTGGTCCTAAATATAAACCTTTTTTACCATACAAACCAAATATACTCCTCTAGCCTTGCTTATAAAGTAGAGAGAAAATATCTTTTATTCTATTTAAGTCATTTCATTTAATTTTTAGCATATTTTGATACTTATTTATGAAAAATAAAGGATAAAATAGTACATCTCTACCAAAAGTTATCTCATTAAATGTTAGCCTATTTTTATACCTATTTATGAAAAATAAAGAATAAAAAAGCAAATATCTGCTAAAAACTATTTCATTAAGTTTTTAGCATAATGAGATAACTCCAATAGGATTAAAAAAAAAACCCAAAGAAGGAAAATGGAAAAGGAAAGGAGAAAATAAGAAAGAAAGCAGGGGCATGCGCGATGCGGGTCCCATGTTAAGGATTGAGCAAGAATAATTTGAGAAGGGGAAGAATGCCACACTGCGCACTTGAGGGTTGGGGCGTGCGAGAGGAAATAAAAAGAAAAAATAAAAGTCGGGGTCAAGATGGGAACATGGGGTTGTGTGATGATGGAAGTTGAAATCCTGTCAAAAAAATAAAATATCATATAGGAAGTTTGTATTTTCAAACTCGTTCACTCTCTGAACGATTTTAAATATAACATCTCCCAATTATTCTTCAAAGCATAGCATACTGGTATTTTATTTTATTGTTTGTAGGATCTTGGTAAAAAATTCATCTTATTTGCTCTTCATTTTAAAATTGAAACCCGACAAATATTCAATTCTGTTTTTAATTTTTAAGTATCAACTATGGATATTTTGTGGGGAAACCTTTCTGTCCCTTGCTTATACTTTTTGTGTGTGTGTGTGTGTGAAAACAATATATGTGTAGTTGGAAGGAATTCATTTCCATTCTCATCATCGTCCGTAAGATTAAATTCGAATAATTCAGATTTAATTTTTTTATTTTAATATTAACGACGATTTCTTATTTTAACAGACGTATGGAATTGGAAAGTCTAAGTTAAAAATATTATTCTAATTATTAATATTTTAAAAAAATGAATTTATTAACCAGGAAGAAATGTAATCATGAAAAAGTTTCATGCATAAAAAGTGAATAACATGCAATAATAAATTCTATGGTTAAGGTACCTTTGGCACGGATGAAACTGGTCCACTTTTAATACATTATGGGTGAAATTGCAAAGAACAAAATAGTTTACAGAACTGGATGTATCCGAAAAGAAGTTCAAAGTGCTAGATCATGCACCTTAACACTAAATTCTACGATAAAAAATAATAACAGATTTATGTGACTCGCTTGTTTTTGGAATTTTTTAATGGCAAATGACAATATGAGCCCTGTGGATTGGTGGGCTCAGTCATTTTCTGGGGTGAAAACATATTACGGGGCTGGGCAATGGTGAAATTATTTATCTCACGGGAAGTTAAAAAAAAAAAAAAAAACAAATTTAGCAATTGGTTTACTTTTGCATCCAAGGCAAACAATCTCTGAAGTTATCAAATAACATAAAATTTACAAATTACAAAGCCTATATTGATTGAAGCTAATTAAAACCGAAAATCATTCTATTCCCCAGTATTTTTGTGTAATTATGCATCAGTCTTATAAATAGAAAGCATGTTCATCAATGGGTGATTATTTTGGGAAAACTTTTTTTTTAAAAAAAAAAAATACAATGGGGGCACCATTTTGAACACTAAAACCAATCCCTATGGGTGGAGAAGTTGGTGGGCTAAAGTTGGACTTAGAGTCTGGATTATGGGCTCGACCCAGTAGAGACATTACTCATCTTTCGGCCCAAATCAACCGCATGGAACAATTGTTCAATTAATGCTGACTATTTCACAATTATAATTTACACTTAGTAATGTAACTATCATTAATGTGCTTCCACGCTGTAAATTATAACTCCCTTCAGCCTCCATGGATTGCAAAAATTATTATTTTTTATTTAATAAGGTGGTTGAAAAATAAAACACTTTTTACATATCCGTTATTTTAAACAAATTTTCTATTTTCTTAATTTTATTATTTGTATTTTATATATAAGACAAGAGAAAGATAATATTTATTGTGATTACCTGTTTTAAGGATGAGCACTGGCAGCTCATAGGTTTATGAAGGTGGGAAACATGCTAACATAATTTTAAAACCATGTTTCCCTCGTCTGGCCAAAAAAAAAAAAAGTCTCCCTCGTATTTAATAATTTGCAAAATTCGACTCTAATTAATTACGACCTAGAGTTACACTCTTAAACTTTTTCTGTCCAATTTTTCGCAAAAGCAAAATCCAAATTTAATGATTAGAGTTGTGGACTAATGCGAGCCGAGCGCGAGCTTCTGTTTCGAAACTAATGGGTTTCTACCGGAATCAAAAAGAAATTTAATTTTAATTCCACCCCCCCCCCCCAATTTCCTAATGTACGTCCTAGTTGGCCGTGGTACAAGTCAATCTCACTTGTTTAATTTTAATCAAGGACCTTATTATTCTACATAGGAAAAATGACAAAAAAACAAAACTGAAAATTATTAAATCCCAAATTATGTTTAGTAACAATACTTTATTTACCGTTGACAACACTGAATTTGTAAATAATAACAAATTTTTTTTAATATTCTTTATTTGGTATCTAGTAATTTTTAGCTTCTTTTTTTTTTGGTTATTTTCCCTTCTACATATCCTAGATTCTACTTTTAAAAAAAAATCTAATGACTGAAATAACTATGATGAAACATATAGGAAATCTAAAAGTCACGCACATGAAGCAATTTATACTCCCACTAGTCGTTATTATAAGGAGTTATCTAGAAGAAAATTTTGGTTCTTTTTATAAGGTATTAACAGGGTCATTAATGAATTTTTTTCTAGTTTACCCCTAGTTACAAATTATTATTACTCATGTAAATAATTTTTCACTAGCTTCCTGAAATTTGTCATAAGGGTAGGATTAAAAAATTTTATACTTTTGAAACACATTTAATAATATAACTGTTATTTCTTGGTCTATGTGAATGAGCTTGTTGACCCAAAAAGTAGTCATATAAAGAATATTCCTTATGTATAAACTTAACACTAGTGCTAAATTTCTCATACATGAGTAAATGGGATAAATTAGTTATCTCATAAATATGTCGGTGATTAATATTACACGTCTTTTTATTTTGAGTAAATCAATGAAAAGTTCTGATTCCAAAATTTTGTTAGTGAGAAGGACCTGGATTTGAATATCTTTATTTTCTGTATTTGAAATCATATATAGTATTGAAACTTTATGTGTGTAAAAACATATCGGGTCTTTCTCACCAACAAAATTTTTAAATAAGAATTTTTTACTGACTTTTTTAATCTTTATTGAAGAATGTTGGTCCTACATGATAATTTTATAAAGAAAGTCCTTATATAAAAACGACTTGTCCTTTCTCCTCCCTAGTCTTGGCACGAAAATGAAGCCTCATTTTAATTAATTAGTCGTTTTCAATCACCTGCTCCTCTAATTCTTTTGCTGAGCTGTAGAAGTAGAACCTTTTTATTTTATTAATATATCATTTCGCCTTTTTCATTAGGAAAAAAAAAAAATGATATTCCTATAGTTAACTGAGAGACCCATTGACTTAAATGACCTCTCTTCATTTCTTTCTTCATCTTCATTCTCTCTCCACAGCAGCACCATGCTCACGCTTCAACCTGTTACTCTCTTTCTTCTCTTATTTACTACCTTCATATCCTGCAACGGCGTCGTTTCCGACCCCCAGACCAATCTTCTCAACTCTGGCTGCTTCCAGTACAACAGATTCGATCCTATAGATGCTAATTCCTTCAATCAAAGCCTAAACGCAGCGTTTGGAGATCTCAGAGATCAGATCGCTAACCAGAGCAAACACGTCGCCAAGGCGCAGCAAGCCAGCGGAGCCACCCCCGTTTTCGCTCTTTTTCAGTGCAGGAGCTATCTCTCCGTCGCCGACTGTGTCGCCTGCTTCACCGTCGCTGTCGCTCAAATCCGCAACTGCTCGGCCAACGCTGCTCGTGTCATCTACGACGGCTGCTTCCTCAGGTACGTATCGCCGGGCCCTCCGCCAAATTCAAGTTTCCCTTGTTTTCAAATGGTTGATTAGAGATATCTTTCGAAGGATAAAATATCTATTTGAATATCAGGTTAATATAATCTTTATACCCACTAAATTTGGTCTCTTTAATCCCTCAAATTTCATAATCATATTTTCATTCCTCAAACAACAAAATGATCCAAATAAAAATTGTAAGAACTAAGGTTTTAAATTAAAAAAAAAAAAGCTTAAGAGACTAAAATCTATAGGTTAAAAACCGGAGAGATCAAAACTAAACTAAAGTGAAAGTAAGGGCTAAAGTTGATATTAACCTTTGAATATTATATATATATATATATATATATCTATATAAAAAGAAGTTAATATTCCCACGGACTCACGGAAAGCCCGTCCACGTGTGGGTAATATAAATATGTGTGTGTGTGTGTGTGTGTGTGTGTGTGTGTGTATTGGGAGCGATGACACAGACATAAATAGGGTCTGGGTCCATTGTGTTTGCCGTCATTGTTGAAAAATAAAACTGGTGCCCACAAGATTATTACAGTGCGTCGTGCTGATGGGGTGGTGGGGAGGCCACAGATGCAAGTTGTATTGTATGTGAAAGATAAGAAGACAATTAGTGAAAAAATTGCAGCCAATGACCACAAATTCGCAGACACTATTATTTTTTTGTGTGATTTGACAAACTACTCAGATTTATTAGTTCAGTATTTCAGTTGCACAGTGATTAGTTTTGCTATTTACTGTTTTTATCTATGAAACTGTAGTAATTATTTTTATACAGCTACTGATTGATGACTAGTCTAGATTCTTTATTAACTACTTTTGTTAGTTTCAAAAACTTGAAAAATATACTAGGAGTTGCCGAAGATTTAGTGACTATTTTCGTTTAATTATTTACTACTCTAGTTTCACTATTTGCTATTTTCATTTCAAAAACTTGAAGAAAAAAACATATATTAGCAGCTTCTATTACTACTTTTGTTAATATCGTTGTTTTTTTTTTCCACCCATTTTATTTTAATACCACACTTTACCCTGCAAATATATTCGCTGAGAGTAGTTTATTGTCACACTTCAGGTATAAGAGTAGTATAGCTAAACAGGAGTAGTAACTGAAGTTCTAAAAATAAAAGCTGTAAACAACAAAACTAGAATAGTTACTAGAGCTCTAGAACCAAAAGTAATTACTATTAAAACTGGTGTAATCACTAGTTAAACAATAGTAGTCACCAAAGCTCTACAAACAAAAATAGTAAATAGTGAAATTTGAGAAGCCACTGAAGCTCCAGTGGGCAGCTGCCAGCCAAAGGTGCTTAAGTGACCTTCGAACAAAAAAAAAAAAAAAATGAAAGTAATTATGATTGAGAGAGTATCACTAAAAAAAATTTAAGAAGAATTTATAAATATGAGAAATAAGTCTTATATTTAGTATCAAAATTAATACAATAATTAGATCCTATATTAAGAATCAAAGGAGTACTATTGAGAAGCCATAAACATGTCAGCGAAATCAAACGATAAAATTTAGAGAAAATTGGTAAAAAGTTTCTGATTTAGAAAATTAATGTGCAAAGCTACCTAATGATCCAAATCCTTAAGCGGGTCGCATTTTAGTCATGTGCAATATATTTTCAGATATTTTTATATCTCTTTTATTTTGGTGCACACAGTTAAGGAAAAGTTGCACCCATTTAAGACAGGTTGCACCAATTAATTTTATAAGCATGGACTTCTTGACCATTTTCCCCTAAAATTTGTGCTCTCAAATAAAGGTTCATTATAGTTGATAGCAAAACCCATACCGAGCTTCTTAATACTGACATGGGATATAATACTTTGTGGTGTCCGTTGAGGTATGAGAGCAGCAATTTCTTTGAGCAAGCAACAGGGTCTTTCAATTCTGCATCATGTGGAAATCAGACTCCAGAAGTAGCCACAACAACATTTAACTCAATTATTCGACAAGTGCTAATGAATCTTCAAACAGAAACACCCAGAATCACTGGTTTCTCTGCAGCCACAAAGACGCCAGAAGTGCCTGACAATAATAATATCAACACAACCATTTATGCCTATGCACAATGTACTGAAACTATCTCACAGAGTGGCTGCGAGGGTTGCTTGAAGCAAGGCTACGACACTATGCAGACTTGCCTTCCCAATTCAGATGGGAGGGCTTTTGATGCCGGCTGTTTCATCAGATACTCCACCACTTCCTTCTTTCCTGATAACCTCACCATTATTAATACCACACCCTTATCCAAACAAGGTATATACAGTGAATTGAAAGGTTTGAGAGGTGTGGTTCTATTTTAGATGTAGTAATGGTTCTTCGTGAGTGACTCATTTCAAAATGAGGTGTCTGGTTTCTTGTACTTGCAGGTTCCAGAAGCAACAAAGCGGCCATTATTGGTGGAGTTGCTGGTGGAGGTGTGGCTCTTTTTTTGGTTCTTCTTTCATTATTTGCCTGGATGCAGCGTGTTAGACGGTCAGAAAAGATTGAAAGGGTTCCTAGAGGTAACTAGTTAATTTGATGAGTCTTCACTCTAGTCCCAAACGTAATAGCTAGATGGTTAATTTGCCGACATTAAATGCTAAATACTTAAATTAGTTATTTATAAAAACTATGTGTTGATTTTCCTTAAAAAAAAAACACCATCTAATCAGGAAACTATCCTCATTAGTAGACAAGATTCTATCTATATACGCAATCATTAGGGCTAGAAACTATAAATTTAGGGGAAATTTTGTTAATTAAGATCTCACATTTAGAACTAAAGCAAATTTCTCAATTAGCTCTTATATTTAAGACCAGAAAGAGTATTATATGTTGGCAAGTTGCTTATTGATCCCCTTCCATTTTCACTTTTTTATAATGAGAATGTTATGAACTTTCGTATGTATAGCTGGATAAATATTACTGACTAGTTTTTTAAACATTTAAAGAGATCACTTTAAAATGTCCTTGCCTTAACAGGTGAGATAACGGGAGAATCCAAGTTGAAAGGTTCAATCAATTATAGTTATAAGGAGTTGAAGTCTGCTACCAAGAATTTCAGTGAAAAGAATAAATTAGGAGAAGGAGGATTTGGTACCGTATACAAGGTAACTTTTATTAATTGGGTTTTATATAGTGTCATAGAAATCTATATATTCAAAAAGACAAATGTATAACTTTTAATAACACTTCCATCATTAAAACTATTAATCATTTTGAACAGGGAACTTTGAAAAATGGAAAAACAATTGCAGTCAAGAAACTTATTATGCGACAGTCCAACAGTATGGATGAAGAATTTGAGAGTGAAGTGAGGCTAATAACTAATGTTCACCACCGAAATCTTGTTCGACTTCTAGGATGCTGCAGCAAAGGCAATGAGAGAATTCTCGTTTATGAATACATGAAAAACAACAGTCTCAACAGATACTTATTTGGTATATTATATGACCCAGTAAAGTTTGTGTGTGTGTTTCTTTAAGGATCACCTCATGCTTCTTATTAATGCATGACATATTTCACTTTTATTGAGGCATTTTAAGAGAATTATTTTAATTTGCTTCCCTCTTCTTTCACTTATCATTTAGAGTTTTGTGATAGGTAGCAACAAAGGTTCTCTCAGTTGGAAGCAACGATATGATATAATCTTAGGCATAGCAAGGGGTTTGACCTATCTACATGAGGAATTCCATATTTGCATTATACATAGAGATATAAAGACTAACAACATTCTCCTTGATGATGATTTTCAACCTAAAATTGCTGATTTTGGGTTGGCAAGACTTTTACCTCAGGATCAAACTCATCTTAGCACTAGATTTGCCGGAACACTGTAAGTAAAACCTATTGCACTTTTTATTTATTTCCTTTAACGGTTATCACAGTACATTTGTTGCTCAAGACATCAATAAAATCAGTGTTTAGGTTAGTGGAAAATTTTAACATTTTCTATATCTTTCTTTCTTTGTTTGACAGCATGATGAATACTTCAAGGAAAAGTTCTTTTATATGTGTATGTTGGACATGACACGGTCTTTAAGATTTGCCACATCTTGATATTCATAATCATGTGTATCCATGTTAATTTGTATAACTAATCAAATATGCCATAAATATATGTATTTGTTAGGGGATACACAGCACCTGAATATACAATTCATGGCCAGTTATCAGAGAAAGCTGATACTTACAGTTATGGTATTATAGTCTTAGAAATCATTAGTGGCCAGAAGAACAGTGAACTAAAGATTGATGATCATGCTGATGGCGAATTCCTCCTTCAACAAGTAAGAAAATTTACCCACCCATCTAGAAAGTCAATTTTCCTAGCAAAAACAATTTAATTGATTCATTGGTAAAAGTTATGTATAACAAAACATTAGCCCAAGTTTTGCTTTCTTTTATCTATCCCTCTGATACATGTCCCGCTCTGCTGATATGATAGGCTTGGAAACTATACGAGAAAGGCATGCACTTAGAGTTGGTGGACAATACCTTAAACCCTAACGAGTATGATACAGAAGAAGTGAAGAAAATCATCGAGATTAGTTTGCTTTGCACGCAAGCATCTCCTGCAGTAAGGCCAACAATGTCCGAGGTTGTTGTTTTGCTCCAAAGTAAAGGCTTGTCAAAGAATAAAATCAGACCTACCATGCCTTTCTTTGTTGAAACCGATTCAGGGTTCAAGGCAGACACTTCTAGCTATACTGCTTCCTCAAAATCTAACGCTACTATCTCTACTTCCACCATGATATCAGCAAGATCATGACTTTATTTTATAGGAATAATGTACAGTGTTAGAAGATAGAAATGCAAGCAATTTTGGGATCATTTTAGATATCCTTTTTTATCTGATTATTATCGAAAAGTAGGATCATCAGCCATGTAATTCAGTTTGTTCAAAAAGTTTATGTGAACTGGGTTGTAAATAGCTCATTCAGATTTTATAAAAGCAAATATATATCACAAATTAAACAGACAATCCCAAGCCACAACCTATGAGATTTTACAGAACAAAAGGCGAAGAGAAGATGATAGAGCACCTTTGAACTTGACTCAGCTCTTCACCTTCATACTGCCGTCGGCCGCCGTCAAACACTGGCCTCTGCTTCTCGCGCCGTGAAAACACTTCAAAATCGCATGTTGGAGATTAAAATTCATGAAATCGAATAAAGTTTACTTGAAATAACATCTACTCCTGCTTCGCTAAAATTTTGATAATTTTTAATTATAATAACTAAATTATTCTTATCTATCTTGATATCACATGGCGCCTCAGCTCCTAAATATAAGAGATTTTTAAAAGACAAAACTTAGGTAAAATTACTTATATCCATTAGGTTAAGTTTTTCAATCAAACTTGTTATTGTTAGTTGTTAAAATACATATGTACACTTATAGATTTACCTGGCTATTATGAATGCTTGTAAATTTTTGTATTGAAAATTAGGATTTGCAAACATATGGAGAGTCATTTTATACTATTGTTAATTATTAAAATGTAAATGCGCTCTTGTAAATAATTCACTTATGAACCTAATAAATATAAGCAATTTGACTTATGTTTTATCATAAAGAAAATTAATTGAATTAGTTTTGTTTTCTTGTAATTAATGTGTCAAATATTTGTGCTGCTCTTACACGATTAATTATCTCCGAAATTTAATGGGTTTCTTTATTAGTAATGAATTTCTACTCGAAAAAATTGAGTATTAATAAAGTCAAATAATTGTGCTACTCTTACAAAATTAAATATCTCTAAAATTTAATGTGTATATTTATTAGTAATGAATTTCTACTAGAAAAAGTTGAGTATTAATTAGATTTATTTTCAGTGAAAGAAACATCAAAATTCACATCGAACCTTGTGCCAATTTTAATAGTATTTAATTTGAACAAGGATTGATAAACTCGACCGATTAAGATATGAATGTCCGGAAAAAAAAAAAAAGGTCAAGAAGCTATTAATAATATCAAATACTCCTTCAATTCTTAATCTAGAACTAGAGAGTTAATACTGGTTCTATATATAAGATATATTTTACGTGTTTATTATTATTTTTAAATTAATCCTTTTGATATTCTCTTAACAATAATCAAGTAAGAGAGGAATTAAGGAAAATGTTTAGGGTGTTTTAGGAAAAAAAATATATCATGTTAATTAATTTAATTAACATATTTAATATACTCAAATTAATTACTTAGTTCTTATATGACAAGAGAACTATCAGCCATTAAATTCATTCCATAGAACAAAGTCCAAAATGTTAAATTTTATTAATGAGGGATTAAAAAACCCATGCGCTGCTGCTAGCTTCAAAACATCGAACTTGGAAGTAAAAATAAATATTGGTTTTAAAGCTTTACTGAACACAAAATTCTTGTTGGCCAAAAAAAAAACACAAAATCCTTACTTGAAAGTTAAAACTCTATTTATGCACATCTCAACTTTCACCCAAAATGATAGCTCTTTTACTATCAATGCAGTGTTAGAAATCCAACTCCTTTGTTTTTGGGCCATCCAAATACTCCAAGCTAAAAAATCACCATGGACTGAATTATACAGGTTTTTTTGTGTGCCGACCTGTGGTTTTTAATCTGACATGAATTACAAATTCCCAGCTGAAGCCGATTTAAATAAAACTTATATACCTCTAAATGAGATCTAAGGTTTGAACGCAATCAAAATTATATTGAAAGAGCGAGCTCAGTTCAATGCCCAATAAAATTAAATTTATGCTCTTCAATCCTTAAATTTAGAAGCTAGATAAACAATTTATACAATTTAAGAAAATTTATTAAGTTAATTATTCATAAAAAAATGTGTCAATTTCTCTAAAATGGCCCTCATTTTAGTCATTTACACTGGATAATACTCCTATCGGTTGTGCACATTAATATGTGCAATCAACATGAGTATGTGGAAAAAATAAAATAAATGTGACAGATAAAGGAAATTAGGCTTTTACTTTTAAAACAAAAACAATTTTTCAACTAGATGTTACATTTAGGGTCAGGAGAAGTGTTAAATAGGTGAAAAAAAATCTATAAGGCCCCTTTTGCATCTATTTACGCACATCACTTCAACTTCTATCAATATTACCTCTAGTTCTAGATATAAGATCTATTTTGTAATGCAATTTGTACTATTAACTAGATATTATATTTGGGACCAGAGATAGTAATTAATAAGGGATTGAATATTTGCTCAAAAAAGGGGTTGAAAAACAGAATACAATAAGCAGAAAGGAACCGGGGGAAGTTGACTAAAATAAACAGTAAAGGCTCTCTCATAAATGCATGAAGAAACCCCTCTTTTCCAGCTATTTATGCTCATATCATCTTCTCCATATCCCCCACAGAATTCCATTTCAATCTCATCAAACCCTTCATTGTTCTTCATTTCTGAGACTTCTCAATCTCACTTATCTTCCTCTCTTCAATCTCTTCATTTGAATCCAGAAACCTGTTCTCTCAGTTTAACTGTCAAATAGCTTTTTAGCTTCATCGATGGCTGACAACGTTTCTTCCTGCAACCCAACCTCACTAGTGTCAGGGCAAGGGCAAGAAACACAACCCCGTTTGATCAGCCAAGACCAAATTGAACAAATTTATCAAAATTTGATGAACCAAATCTCAGTATGTGATTTTTATTTTTCTCAATTAACTTCTGATGCTCTTCGAGATTGCATATTCCAACGCTAACCGTCGTCGGGGATGATTGTGTATTTAAATTAAAATTACTAGTATATTTGTATTAAATCCCCCTCAATTCTAAAAACAATTAAGCTACTATCAATTAGCTGGATACCGTTTGGTCTCTTATGAGCAGAATTTTCTTAGCTATTCATCTCTCTCTTAATCACACGGCATATACTAACGTACATTATCTAATTAGTTTTGCCAATCTTTGATTTTATTTAGTTATTATAACTATTTTTTTTCAATTGTAGAAATCAATCAAGGATATGAAGGTGTTGAGCAGTGAAGTAACTTCCGAATCACAAGATGCCGAACTCTTTGTGCCCCTATCATCATTAACTGAAGAGGTTAATGCTATACTCGATGAAGCAAGATTGTTCTGTGATTGTGGGTGAACATCTAATAATTCAAACCAAATTATTACATGCTAGATATATATGAAGCACAATTATGTGTAACTGGTTTTTGTTGTGCCAAATCGCATTTCTTTCCTGTGTGTGTGTGTGTTATAATTTTGCTTTGGATCTAGATTAGTTTTTCTGTGCTTATCATTTGTGTCATGTCATGATGATATACGATATGGTTTCATTGCTCGATCTCATACATTTGATAAGATTGTGTTATGCCTATAATATATCTCACGCGACCTTAATTATACGGTTTTGTTGTGCCCACAGTATTAATTGGTTTGGTTGTTCACACATTTTTAGTCCTTTGATTTGTTCAATCTGGTTTTATTGTGTTCACAGTATTTGTCTCACATGAATTTGATCTGGTTTTGTTGTGTTCGATCATAGTAACTGATGTATCCTCTGTGTGTGTGTGTGTGTGTGTGTATTAGCATGTTTTAACGTGCCAACAGTATTTGTCTTCACTGTAATTATCTCGTATATTATCTGATTTTGTTGTGCCCACAGTGTTTTATCTGTTACCTATTATCTCATGTATATTATTTCATTTTGTCATGTCCATGATTTATGTACTCCTCCGGTTCTAAATGTAAAACCCATTTTGTAATATAAGTTACATTATAAAAGAGGTCTTATATTTAGAATTGAAAGAGTATCACTTATCATATCATGTATGTCATGGTAGCTGTTATTCATTTTCCCCAAATATAAACAAGATCAATGTGGGAGGCATATATATAAGAGAGAAAAACGGAGTGAAAATAAGATATAAACAGAGAACTATTCAAATAAAATTTTCCTACACTTCATATCTCTCTTATTCTCTTCAATTCAAACTTAAACTTGTTGTGTTGAAAATTATAGATGTTACCCATTTTAATTTAATTTATAAAGAACAAGGTGTACAACAAGATGATTTTTATTCACGCAACTAATTAATTTCCATCGTTTTGTTTACAGACTCCGAAGAAAAGAGGAAAACGTCATACTACAAAAGTTGTAGGAGAGTTTTCGTTATCATATGAAATTCCTCCTATATGTATTCAAAACAACTTTGACATGGACAACGTATGTTACTTGGCATTAGATCTTACTTTTCACATATATAATTCCATTATATATACATACCCACGCGTTTATATGTTTGAGCTCAAATAATTAATCTCTTTTGTGACAAAATGAAATTATGTGCAGCTGCTTTTAGGTGACGAAAGTGCGAGCGACCCCAGTAAGTGTCATCAGTTTTCCTTCATTGAAAGACTTCAGAATTGGACTCTTCGACTAAGGGAGCGCACCAAGGGGAAGCATTGTGATGTTGTGAGTTTTTCTTTATATTTCATAGAAAGTTTTTATTTAATTAAAGTGTATGAGTATATTTATGTATATACTCGTTTTATGCAGTATTATAATCATATGATGTCTGGATATTTATTTCGATCGAAGAAGGAAGTGGTGAACTTCATGATCTATGAAAAGTACCCAGCAAAGCCAAGTAACAAAAAACCCAAGAAGCTTGGAATTATGGTGAGTAAACCTTATACATTAATCTTGTATAGTTTTTCTTTGTATCATAAAAATAAAGTTATTACAATTAGGTTAAGTAACAATTAGAATTGAAATAATAATAAGGATTTTGAGAAGCATTGTTATGTAAATTATTGCCGTTTTTTGCTTTGTTTTGTTCTTCTTGTAGGAGGAAGCAAGTGTTGCAAGCAACAATGAACCATTAGGGGAAGAAAAGGAAAAGTGTGAAAATGAAGAAATTGATCAAATGACTATAAAGCAAGAAAGGGTTGTCAAATTTCTCACTGAATCATATGAAAATTTGATGAATTGTGATTCTCATGGCCCTAAATGATTCGATCCAGTT